TCTTCATCATTCATTATTTTGAGACAGGCTCTCACTGTGTAGTTCAGGCTGGCCTTGAATTCACTATGCAGACAGAGACCAGGGTGGCCTTGAATTTGTGGTAATCCTTCTGCCTCAGCCTCATAAATGCTGGGATCACAGGTGTGCGCCATCACACATAGTCTAATTATAGGTTTTAAAAGATGATTGAGTTACTGTTGCTATGAAACAGACTCTTGTGTAAGGCTAATTTCCTTCCAAGCGATTTGAATCTATGCCTTGTATTAATTATTCTATATTCAGAGCAGCTAGTGTGATAGGCTCAAGCCATGTGCATTACTTCTTCTTGGAAGTATGCGTAATGAAAGGTAATTTTTCATTATTTTGGAGGGTTACTTTATAAATGTTAGAGGATGTTAACTTTCCTAACGTTAATTTATTAGTAAAATGTGTCACTGTCTAGAGATTGCAATGCTTATCAAAAGTCTATATGTTTTTGCATGTACTATTACAGTATGTAATCTTTAAAATTAATTAAGGTATATATAATCTTAACCAAAGCATAAATACCTATTGACTTGTATTCTTTCTGCTGCATTTTACTATAAGCATTTAAATTTGGATTATTTATATTTCAGGGACATGGATCTTCTGGTTCACTAGGACCTCCAGGCCCTCCTCCACCACCTCCAGTGCCAGGTGTTGGGCCACCTCCACCACCACCTCCTCCACCACCACCTCTACCTATGGGAGCTCCTCCTCCTCCACCACCTCCCTTACATGGAATAGGAACAGTACCACCACCACCACCACCCCTTGGAGGAATTCCTCTTCCCCCAGGTGCACCACTGGATCTTCCTTATGGAATGAAGCAGAAAAAAATTTACAAACCTGAAGTGTCCATGAAGAGAATCAACTGGTCAAAGGTAATGCTATAGTTAGTTTTCTGACTGTAATGATAACTGTATTCCTATGTATATATATTACCTAATGTTTGAGATGACGACTGCTGACTGTATTGCTTTCCTTTGTAAGTTCACCATCAATCCATGTTTCAGTTAACCACCTAGATAACTGGAAACATCCTGGTTTGAAATTTTGAGGCTTGTGAAAGGAATATTGAAATGGTTTACAAAATGATTTTTTTCAATAAATGAAAACTAATTTTGATTCTTTTATTATTAAGTACTTTAACATTTTATTATTATTATTATTATTATTTTGGCGTACCTGTGATTTAACTAGGGACCTTGCTCTTGCAAGGCAGGCAGTAGAAACACTGAGCTAAATCCCGACCCAAGGACTTTAACATGTTTAAATATTATTTTTATTGTTTTTGAGCCTTAATATCTTACTATTTTTTGCTCTTAGGAAATTTTTTTCAGTTTTATACTTTCGTATAGTAGTTTGGAGTAGGTGACTGTATTCAGTAGTGTTGTAATCTGATTGTTTTTAAATATGCTGAATTAAAATATTTTCTTCTACATGTTATTGCACCTTATTATTGTCATCAAATAATATTTGTCTATAAACAGTTAAAAGATTGTCATAGTCTTCATTCTTGGAAATTTATTTTCTAGTGAAAACACAATTAGCTATACTGTAGAACATAAAGTCACATCATAGTAAGTCTTTTAGTAAGTTGGTTTGATGAAATCATTAAAAAAATTAAGCATATACGTGTGTTCTGGTCATGGGTAAAGGAGGCATAAATGATTTTAGAAGGGCTTTTTGTTTGTTTGATTGCTGGGGATTATGCTCAGTGCCTCAAGAATGTTAGTCAGGTACTCTACTTCTGAGCTACATTCCCAGACAACAGGGTAGTTATTTTTACCTTAAGACCATTCTTTGAAGTACACTGGCTTTATATCCCACCTTGCCATTTACACATTTGGCAGCTGCTTAAACTGTAGAGTGCTCAGTTTCGAAAGTCTTTAACAGAGGTAATAATAAGTTCTGCATTAAAAAATTGTAGTGAGGATCAGATGAGTTAATATATGCAAATTACCTATAAAGTACCTGATGCATAGTAAGAAGTATGTGTTATTAGTTATCATGTTTGCTCCCTTCAATATAACCAAGGAACATAAGAAATTCACTTTTCTTTATCTCAGATGTTCTGTTTTCAAATATCCAGGAGCAAGAAGAATTTATTTGAGTTCAAGAGGTATTTATTGAATTATTTTTAAGGTTATTTTCAGCAGAAGATTTTTAAAAAATATAATTTGCTATATAGCCTATTGCTGTCATTTCACTTTTCGGCCTACCAACAAAATTCTGAGGGTTTTCCAGTGTATGTTTACTTTAAGGTGGCTACTTTGAAAGATCCTAAAATTGATTTAATGGATAGATGAAAAAAATAATTGTAATTCATCCTTGGTGGAAGTGAATTCTTTCAAAAATTAAATATAAAGTAACAATTTTGAAGGTTGTCTTTGTTATTTCTTTTTTAGATTGAGCCCAAAGAATTATCTGAGAACTGTTTCTGGTTAAAAGTAAAAGAAGAGAAGTTTGAGAATCCAGATCTCTTTGCAAAATTGACCCTGAATTTTGCTACCCAGATAAAAGGTACATTTTCTTTTTATCAAAAAAAATATAAATTCCTAATTCTGATTTGTTAGAATTCAGTGTTTAACTGAAATTTTTTAGTAATATGCATGCACACACACACACACACACACACACACAC